TTCGTTGGATAACCTACTTTTTGCAGTAGAATTTTATTAAATATGTTTTTAAACGTTAGGCAATATCTCAAAATCTGATATTCTCTCTGAATTTTTAAAATGTCTCATGTTCTAAATTTACTTACCCTTCCTGCTAACTTAACTCCTTTCCTAATGAGAAAAACCTTCCTTTAGAGCATCTAAGTTATGAACAATGTTAGGAAGAAATCGATCTAATTGAACTGATTCACACTATAATATGCCTGAAAGTGCTTTAACTTGTTAGAGCAATTAGGAATTTTTTTAAATGTTGGAAAATCACCTATGGTCAGAACTTAGGACTGTTGTAATATAGCACATAATTTAAATCATCCAGGCAGTGCGGGTCAAGGTAATTATGGATAATGAGGCCAATACGTGAATCAGTCTTGTAAAATCTGGAAATTTGCCCTTGAATTCAACTTCTGTAAGCTATTCCTGTATTTCAAAGCTTTCCTTCGTGAATCTATACCTTTTTTTGGAAGAAAGTTTATTAGCAGTTTTAAAAGACAGATCTCTCTCTGATCTCTCTCATTTCTTCAGAAAAACATGCAGTTATTGCTTGCACGTACTATTGACCCTTGAACAACACAAGTTTGAATTATGAGAGAAATCCTTACGATTTTCTTAGTAACATTTTCTTTTCTCTAGCTTACTTTATTGTAAGACTGTATACAACACACAAAATATGTGCTATGTTTATGTTATAGGGAAAGCTTCCAGTCAACAGTAGGCTGTTAGTAGTTAAGTTTTTGGGAAGTCAAAAGTTACGTATGGATTTTCAACTGCACGGGGGGTTGGCGCTCCTAACCCGTGCGCTGTTCGAGGGTCAACTGCAATTTCAGAGGGTTCCATAATCATTGCTCAAGGAGGTAGAAATTACAAGTGCTTACAAATATCTGGTTCTTTTCTCTTCTGGTCATGTGGAAGCTTGCACATCTCAGCCCCTTGCAACTGGGCAGGGCTCTGTAGCTAGCTGTAGGGCTGTAGGCAAAAGCCACTTCTGGGCGTGGGCATGGGAGAATCTACCTGAGACCCTGCAACTGAGTCTTTTCCCTGATGAAGTGATCATGGAGGAAGCCTTGTTAAAAATAATAAAGCTACAATATTGAAGCAGCCTAAATCACTAAGTCTCCACATGGAGAACATTTGCCCTGGAAGGTCATCATGTCTGCAGTAGACTTTGTGTGCACACAGAATAATCCTTTCTTGTGGTAAACTGCTGAGATCTTCAGAGTTGTTTTTTACCACAGCTAACTTTAGCCTGCCCTGACTCCAGAAGCTTCCAGATTCTCCATGATGATTCCCAAGATAGCAGCAGTAGGAGCTCCAGTGGGAGAATTGGGATAGCCATTTCTCCGTATGACAATTTAAAAATGTGTGTTTATAGGCTATTGGTCTGCTCGTGATTTTTTTCAGAATCAGAGACCCTTAAAAATCCTTTGTTTTTTACTCCCATTTCTAGTTACAGAAAACAAATTTGGTAAGACAAATGGGAGATGAAATATTAAAATATGTTCTCTATATTTGACACTCCAAGCTAGTGTCAAAAAAGCTTAAGAAGGATATGCATCTTTTCTGCTAGTCTCATGTAAATCATGATAGATTATATAAGTGTGTTTCTAACACAAATATCAAGAAAGAGCTTAGAGAATTCAGTGACTTCTGCAACTGATAAGAAAATAAAATAATTCCAAGGGTGAAATATACTGAAAAAGACAATCAATACTTAATTGTAATCAAATTTTAAAATAAAGAAGACAGTAGAATTTGAGCCTGAATTTCAAATTTCCTCATTCAAATACAGTTCACTCATCTTCACATATTTTCTGCAAGTGACAAGTTGCTTCCTTAAGAATAAAGTACTTCTACAGAAACTAATGCTTACTTCATTGGGAAATAATAATGTAGCTCTAGATCCCTCGGGTTGAAGGATTTCTTTTTTTTTTCCTTTTTCTTTTTTTCTCCCTCTGAGAGTCTCCATCTCTATCTGTTGCCTTGGTTCAATAAAAGAGAATTATTGATTGCTCAAACAAAAACTATCCTTCTTTTAGATTCTGCTCACAGTTCTTGGTAGCTAGTGGTGTTACCAGTGTTAACTTTCCAATGTACACTGAACTCACCACTTCCAAGAAAAATGTAGCTGGGTTTCTCTAATCTGATTTTATTTAGTATTTCAATTTTATCTTTAATTGCTAGTTTAAGAAGCTTATGAAAAGTTTATTGGTTGGTTAAACCATAGCAAAACCAGAGTGAATGCTGGGGCTGTATCAGAAGAAGGCTAGGGTTTGAAGTTCTGGGAGAACCTAGTTGTCATCCACTTATGTTTGTCTAATTCCCAGTGAAAGGTCTTACCTCCACCTCTAACTATGTCCTTTGACTTATGGTTATGGATTCCAAATACTGTGCCAACTCAGCTAAATGCTTTCTACTATTGCCAGAATTTGGGGGCAAAATGATCCTCTTCTATATGTATTTAATTCTTTTTTTGTAAGGCTCTGTTAGAACAGTTGTAGAAATACATAAGATTTCTTCTGAAACAAGAAGTGATATGATGTTATTATAGTATTTAAAATATGAACTTTTTGAGGAAAACAAGTTCCGCTGGCTTCTAATTCTTTCTAAACTTTCCCTGATTCAGAATTATATTCATGGCAGCAGAATTGACTCTTCTCTAAATTCTTTTAACCTGTTCTCCTTAAATTTTTAACACCCAGACAAGAGTGACTATTTTATGATCTAGATTCTTCAGCATAATTAATTAAAAATGTTTTTATGACAAATATTTCTATAGAAATTGTTTCTAATGCCTTATTATGATGAATGACTTGAATAACAATCACTGCACATATATTATACTTCTCATGGGTGATGTCTACTGCCTAGGCACGGGTACAATGTGCTCAGTACAGGAAATATTGGACAATAATGAGAAGAAATACTGGCATATTTCTTAATTTTAATGCCAATCTATCCTTACCATGGTCTTGACCTTTCTGAAATAAGTCTTCAAATCCCTTATGAATGTACCTGAACACATTTACTTTCTGAATCCTCTGAACTACCATAACAATGAAATAAATATTAAAACCATCACTCAATATTCACCATCCAATGTACTCAGGGTTTTTTTTTTCCTTTTATTTCATTCTAACCTTAAATCAAAAAATCGGAGCAAATAGATATTCTTCCATTATGCCCTTTAGGTAAACAAAGTTAGACTTTGTCAAACCAATAGGGAAAACTAAACTTAGTTCATTTAAGTGCTATGCCTTTGGGGGATTGCATCTATTAACCTCTAACATCAGGCACCTAAACTGAGGAAAAGACTGGTTAATTTTAGTCTTTAGTGAGTTAAGTCTGATTTTTCTGAATTAAGACTTTGCATTTCATGGCATCAGCAGCCAATAAGGTGTATTTTGCACTCATCAAAAGAAGCTTAGTTCAACACTTTCAAAAGCCTTCTAGCCTTGCTTATTAGGTGGTAAGGTCCTGGGCAGTAAAACATAATTTTCAAGTCTCCACATATTTTTAATTCAGATACTAAAATAACAATGGAGAAAAACAAAATGAAATGAAGCTACAAAATCAATAGCCAGGAAAAGACTTGGTAAGAAAAACTGGGAGAACTGGGTCAAAATAACCATCATAAAATTTTGAGGTTAATATTTATACTGTACTGGACAGACTTATTTGGCTCAAGTTTTTACCATCAGCAGCTAACAAGATTATAAAAAGGGGGAAATAAACTAAGCAAGAGAAAGCTATTATAACCATCCTTTAGTTACTAATTTTCTTCTATCACAATATAAAACACTAGTTGTGTTGAATACAGTGTAAGCAAAAGAAACAGTATTTTTTTAAAAGAAATCATAGTAGGCACAGATGAGAAGACTTATATTATGATTTGATCGTAGGAATACTCCCTAAAAATATAGATGTCCAAATAGCTACATTAACTACCTCTCATCTGAATGAATTCACCTGTTCACTCACCTTTATCATCCAGGGCTTTATATTACAATCATATTTAAAATTTTATATGATTAAATATGACTATAGTATATTTTTTAGTAATTTGATTGGCAGGAAATAGGGAACGAAATCTTACAAGCATGGCTTTTTAATAATTTATAATTACTTACATGAATCTACTAAGTTTAGGCACACAATTATATGACTAATTACGTTGAAAATCCAAGTGGATGCTTAAATAGATGACCATGCCCTGAGGCCCTTCCAGTTGTTTCTGCTGTCTCATTTAACCATGCAAATGTTATTAAGCATTCCTGGCTAAAAATTTTCAAGCATGTGCAAGTGTAATTGCATAGATAATTATGCATAATACTGTCACTTCCTTATATCTAACATAAAATTTTCCTTTAAAAAAAAATCAGCTTTCTACTGAGTAGCGTTCTCAGTACAAATATAATTTATAAAAGATAAGTAGATCAAAACTAACCTATTGCTTTCCTTCAGGATCTCTTCTTGACTCTCTTTTCACATTGATTTGAAGGAAAAGAGAAAAAGATCAAGCAATATACAGGCACGCCTCGAAGATATTGCAGGTTCCATTCCAGACCACTGCAATAAAGAGAATATGGCAATAAAGCAAGTCACATGAAATTTTTGGTTCTCCATTGCATAGAATAGTTATGTTTACACTATGCTGCAGTCTATTGTGTGCAATAGCATCATGTCTTAAAAAACAATGTACATATCATCATTTAAAAATACTTCATTGCTTAAAAACTGCTAACAGTCATCCTAGCCCTCAGCAAGTCATAATCTTTTCTCTGGTGGCGGGTCTTGCCTTGACATTAATGGCTGCTGATTGATAAAAGTTGTGGTAGCTGAAGGTTGAGGTGGCTGTGGCACTTTCTTAAAATAAGACAACAATAAAGTTTGTCACGTCTAAAGTAAGACAACGATGAGGTTTGTTGCATCAACTGACTCTTCCTTTCATGAAAGATTTCTCTGTAGCAAGTGACGCTGTTTGATAACATTTTACCCACATTAGAACTTCTTTCAAAATTGGAGTCAAGGCCAGGTGCGGTGGCTCACGCCTGTAATCCTAGCTCTCTGGGAGGCCGAGGCGGGCGGATTGTTTGAGCTCAGGAGTTCGAAACCAGCCTGAGCAAGAGCGAGACCCCGTCTCTACTAAAATTAGAAAGAAATTAATTGGACAACTAAAAATATATAGAAAAAATTAGCCGGGCATGGTGGCGCATGCCTGTAGTCCCAGCTACTCGGGAGGCTGAGGCAGAAGGATTGCTTGAGCCCAGGAGTTTGAAGTTGCTGTGAGCTAGGATGACGCCACGGCACTCTAGCCCGGGCAACACAGTGAGACTCTGTCTCAAAAAAAAAAAATTGGAGTCAGTTCTCTCAAACCCTGCTACTGCTTGTCAGCTAAGTTTCTGTAATATTCTAAATCCTTTGCCACTTCAACAATGTCGACAGCGTCTTCACCAGAAATAGATTCCATCCCAAGAAACCACTTTCTTTGCCCATCCACAAGAAGCAATTCCTTATCTGTTCAAGTTTAATCCTGAGGTTGCGCCAGTTCAGTTACATCATCAGGCTTCTCTTCTAATTCAGGTTCTCTTGCTGTTTCTACCACTTCTGCAGTTACTTCCTCCACTGAAGTCTTGAACCTCTCAAAGTCATCTGTGAGGACTGGAATCAATTACTTCCAAATGCCTATCAATGTTGATATTTTGACCTCCTCCCGTGAATCATGAATGTTCTTAATGGCACCTAGAATTGTGAATCCTTTCCAGAATGTTTTCAATTTACTTTGCCTAGATCCATCAGAGAAATTACTATTTATGGCAGCTGTAGTCTTATAAAATGTATTTCTTAAATAATAAGACTTGAAAGTCAAAATTACTCTTTGATCCATGGATTGAAGAATGGATGTTATGTTAGCAGACATAAAAACAACATTATTCTCCTTGTACATCTCCATCTGAGCTCTTAGGTGACTAGACGTGTTGTCAATGAGCAGCAACAATTTGAGAAGAATCTCTTTTTCTAAGTAGTAGTTCTCAACAGTGGGCTTAAAATACTCAGTAAACCATGCTGCAAATAGATGTGCTGCCATCAGGCTTTGTTGTTCCATTTATAAAGCACAGACAGAAGAGATTTAGCATAATTCTTAAGGGCTCTAGGATTTTCAGAATGGTAAATGAGCATTGGCTTCAACTTAAAAGTCATCAGATGCATTTGCCTGTAATAAAAGAGAGTTAGGCTGCCCTTTGAATCTTTAAAGCCAGGTGTTGACTTCGCCTCTCTAGCTATGAAAGGCCCAGATGGCATCTTCTTCTAATAGAAGACTATTTCATCTACATTTAAAATTTATTGTTTAGTGTAGCTGCCTTCATCAATTATCTTAGGTAGATCTTCTGGATAATTTGCTGTAGCTTATACATTAACACTTGCTGCTCCACTTTGCAGTTCTATGTTATAGAGACACCCTCTTTCCTCAAACTTCATAAACCAGTCTCTGCTAGCTTCAAATTTCTCTTCTCCAGCTTCCTCACATCTCTTAGCCTTCATAGAATTGAGGAGAGTTACGGCCTTGCTCTCAATTTGGCTTTAGCTTAAGGGGTTATTGTAGCTGGTTTCATCTTCTATCCAGACCACTAAAACATTCCCCATATCAGCAAGAAGGCTGTTTTGCCTTCTTCTTTTTTTTTTCTGCTATTATTAACATTTATTATCTGTATCTGTTAGCTTAGGAAATTACCTATTTTATTTATTTATTTATTTTTTAAATTCAGGATATTATGGGGGTACAAATATTTGGTTACATGAAATGCATTTGCCTCGCCCAAGCCAGGGCTACAAGCATGTCCTTCCCCCATACAGCATGCCCGTTTCCATTAGCTGTGGTTTACCCTCCTACCCCCTCCACCCCGACTCCTGACTCCCCACCCTCCTACCTGACTGGCACCCAGTGAGTATTACTACCATGTGAGCACCTTAGTGTTGACCGCTTAGTACCAATTTGATGGCGAGTACATGTGGTGCATGTTTTTCCATCCTTGTGATGCCTCACTTCGAAGGATGGGCTCAATCTCTATCCAGGATAATATAAGAGGTGCTAGATCACCATTGTTTTTTGCAGTTGAGTAGTATTCCATGGTATACATATACCACATTTTATTAATCCACTCATGTATTGATGGGCACTTCGGTTGTTTCCACATCTTTGCAATTGTGAATTTTGCTGCCATAAACATTCCGGTGCAGATGTGTTTATTATAGAATGTCTTTTTTTCCTTTGGATAGATGCAGTGGTGCTTTGCTTTCTTATCATTTGTGTGTCCACTGGAGCAACACCTTTAATTTCCTTCAAGAACTTTTTCTTTGTATTCACAACTTGGCTAACTAACTGCTCGGTGCAAGAAGCCTAGCTTTCAGCCTGTCTTAGCTTTCAACATGCCTTCCTCACTAAGCTTACTCATTTCCAGCATTTGATTTAAAGGGAGAGATATGCAACTCTTCCTTTTAGTTGAACACTTAGAGGGTATCATAGGGTTCATTGGCCTAATTTCAATATTACTGTGTCTCAGGGAATAGGGAGGCCCAAAGTGGGGGAGAGACAGGGTAACAGCCAGTCAGTGGAGCAGTCAGAACACACACAATGTTTATAAATTAAGTTCACTGTCTTGTATGGGCACAGTTCATGGCATCCCAAAACAATTAAAATGGTAACATCAAAGATCACTGATCATAGAGCACCATAACAGATACAATAGTAATGAAAAAGTTTGAAATACTGCAAGAATTACCAAAATGTGACACAGAGGCACAAAGTGAGCACATGCTGTTGGAAAAATGGTGCTAGATAGACTTGCTAAACTAAGGGTTGCCACAAACCTTCAATTTATAAAAAAACACAGTGTCTGGGAAGTGCAATAAAGCAAAGCACAATAAAACAATGTGTGCTTGTACTAAAATTAAAGCAAATTTGAAATATCTATCAATGAAACAATCTACATTTATAAACAAATCCAATTGAAATTATAACTGAATAATTACATGCATGATATAATCACAATCCTACTTGTGTGGACTTAGGTCTGCATAAATATTTACACAAACTTGATAACAGGGATACAAAAAACCTAACTGTCCTCTTCTAGTAATAAAAATGTGAGTAGCAAATTTTTCAGGTTTGCATATATTAAAGTCATCTTTATATAACAGCAAAAAATGTCCAGGAAAAAATTACCACCACATACATGTTGGTGAGTGAATTTCTTATCATGAAAATTATTGAGGAAGCTTTACAATACAAAACCCTGCCTTGTGCCATCTCTTGCCA